TTTTACTAGACTTCGTCTTGGCGAATAACTAAATATCAGAAGAGGCAAGGCACATAAATGTTAGAGGAATATAGTTTTCTACTTCAAAAATAGCTTCAAAATGAAAAAAAAATTTTTTTTTTAAATTACTGATTTTACTTGACTTTATTTTTGTGAGTGTCTAAATTTCAGGAGGGGCGAAACGCATCGTTTGCCCCATCATCTAAATTTTAGAGGGGCCCTCTGCCACTGGGTCTGACGCAATCAACTACATGCAGCTGAGGCCTTTCCCCTTCTCTGTAAAGCGTGTTTGTTCTTTTAAGAAAGGGAAATAATTTGTGAAAAGGTGTTTTACCGTTTTTTACCCTTCCCTTTATGTTATAGTAGGTACGCAATTACAAAAAAGAAAATTTTCATCAACACTATCTTAACACAATTTCTTTCCTACATATATATAATTAGAGTGCTTTATTTTGAAAAAAAAAAAACATGATGTGGTCTCTTCATATGGGGCCCCCTTGACCGTCGGGGCCCCGGCGTAGTTACGGCCCTGTCACCGCTAGGGGCACTTTCCTATTAAAACCTGTTCAAAAGCATACAGTTCATAATAGGAGAGTGCCCCTTGTGATGTATAACGACATTTCCGGGGATGGGTTCCTAAACATTTTTAATCCTGATAATATGTCCTAATTCCCCTAGAAGTCAGTTGCAATATTTAAGCGACCTCCTGTTCTATATTAAGTTTTTAAACTTGTACAATTCGACAAAAAATAGACCTAAAATTTTATTAAAGAAAAAAAAAACAGTAGATTGGAAAAAGAAACCGATTGCAGACTTAAAATCAACGACGTGAAAATATCCAAGGTTCCTTAAATTTCGTGCAAAAAAATAAAAATAAATTGTTACGGTACAAAAAATTTTTTACCAGTTTTACGAACAACAAAAAAAAAAATTTCCACTTGCGTAGTATTGCTTTTACTGGTCAACTGGAATAAGTCAATACTGTTTTTTCCCCTATCGTTTCCTATATTGTTATTCTTTTCTTATAAAGTATAACATGTTATTTATGTTCGTATATATTTCTTATATCTACCAATTAAATTAATGATAGATGTAAATAAATTTTTTAAACAAGACTTTAAAACTTTATCTATCATATACCCCATGCATTTTAAGATATTATATTAATTACCAGAATGAACTATAATTTATTATATAAATTTCATATTAAACTAATTAATTCAAAGAAGAAAGAAATATTTACATTTTACTTGGTATTTACTATAAATAATTTCTGGAAGTATCGTATTCATTATACAAGAATATCTATGCGAAAATTTAAAATTATATTCATTTAAATTTATTTTGTTATCAGTACTTACAAGCCTATTTGTTACGAAAGGTTTCGCACTCTTTTATTGTATAGGATAAATTCAGTTCATGATAATAGAGAATAGAGATCAACTTAACAGGTTTCACTATGCTTCCTTAGTCTTCATAAAATATCTACTTGAACTAAAAATTTGCCAGTTAAAAAATTTAATTTCATGATAGAAATAATTGGAATGAAGTTTAAATTTCAGTGTCCAAAGTGGTTAATTGTATGCTATGGGCCGTGACACCACTGTCACTCATTGAATTGTATAAGTAAACACATTATTCACTCATCTTATTCATTAGAAGCTTTTGGTTCAAGAGTCAGTTGTGGCTATATCATACCTACAACGTGACTGTTAAGTAGAAAATAATCATTTGTAAAACGATTTCCTTGAAGCAAATATTTAATCAAAGTAATAATTTTTTGAAATATGACAGGAAAATTGTAATAAAGTGTGTAATTTTTCTATGTGCGTTCAGCGTTAACTTATGTAATGTGAGGTAAGACAATAATGATAAAGAATGGAAAAATATTTAATAATGTGTCATTAACATCATGTTGTTACTAATCTTATTCTGTTGTTCAATATTTTTTCATGCTTGTTGCTTTAAGAGATGCGGGACATGTTTTTAGAAAGATTGTTAAGATTTAAATTTTAAAAAAGTGCATGCATAATTTGGAATTTTATTGTGCTGTTAAACGATAAGTAACTGATATCAAAATACTTTTCATATCAGTTACTTAACTAATACAAAATGCTTTTTATTTGTTACTTCGCTGTGATACACTGTACAGTGATGAATCGGATTTAAAGAGAACTAAAAAATTAAGTTTTTTTTTTTGGTTTTTTACGGACGAATTCCACATTTACGTGCTAACGAAAAAATTTTAAGATGGGTTATTTTTGCATAAGTAGCTTCAGAAGTAGTATTTATCTATTACTTGAAGTATCAAAAATTAGATAACAATAAACAAATCCCATTTTGAAGGATCCATGTTTGAATTTATCAAAAGAAACGTATGTTTAACAAATGTAAATGTAATTTTGTGTTCGGTTTCGTAATTCAATAGGTAATGCCTCTTTAGAAATTTCAAAAATTATATAATTTATTCATTAAGTTCTTTATACTTATCCCAAAAAAGGTTTTGAATCGAAACAAAATTCATAAGACATTTTTATAAACGAAAGCTTATTAGGCGATAGAAGTTTTTCATACAAAAATATTGACGAGAGTGAGGGTAAGATCGGGTACGTCGATTGTATGGAAATTAGTTCTGTAGTCAAATTATGAAAATAGAGCCGTAGGCTAAGTGGATAGAGAGTTCGCCTTCCAATGTGGTGAACCGGGTTCGAATCCCAGCGATGGCAGGTTGATACGAATTCCGCATTCGGCTCGTACCGATCACAGTGCTGACGTAAAATATCCTCAGTGGTAGATGAATAATGGGTTAGAGTCCCCTTGTCGTCAGACTAACGGGTTATTTTCGTAGTTTTCCTCTCCATGTAACGCAAATGCGGGTTAGTTCCATTAAAAAGTCCTCCACGAATGCAAATTTCTTCCAATTCTTGATCCAGCAGCTACCTTGTCTTCTGAATTGGGTTCAAAATCACAAGGCTATGGAGTTGAACATTAACAGTCGTAAACCCAAAAAATTGGGTCGGCTGTTGAACTGCGGTTATAATAAGTATAAAAATAAGGCTTTTTATGCTTTGGAAAAGGGGTCCGCAATAAATTTTGTCCGGTAATACCCAACACCTTTGTTCAACCTTGGATGTAATTGTCTTCTTTCTCCACTGTACTGCAGCTTTCGTGGACCAGCATAGACTCACATTGCCCCCTAGTGCAGGGGTTACTGCAACGAAACCGAGCAGTGGAACAATTGAACGAAATCCTCATCTTTTGTTAGGGTATTAATCTTTTGTAAATTTATAATAAACTGGACTGAAATTTAATTTTATACCACTAATGACCAATAAATAAGAATAACTTAAAAACAAGAAAACATTAGAAAGTTGACATAGAAAAATAAACTTAGGAAGATACACAGATGCCGTGAATTAATGTGAAACAACACGCCAATATGGCAGGTCCTTCTTCTTGACTAGTAAAGTAAGTGAAGTCATGTCTTACCAGTAAAGTTTGTCCGCTAGAAAACAGAACTGATTTTCACATAATCAAGGTATCCAGTCTTACCCCACTCCTCCCGATATATTTTTACTTACACAATATATTAGATTGAAATGTTAAATTTGTGCATGAAAGTAGATGTTCAATGAGCCGTTCACGAATAGGACCTCTACCTTCATGATATAAATTACTACTTTTTAATGAGTTACTACATCTAATTTCATTGATGATCAAGATCAAAGAAATATTTAAGTTCATTGAAAAGTTTAAAATTAAAATCTCTTGGTTCAGTAATAGCTTTTAAGTTTATAATAATGTATCTCTTAAATAATAAAGAGTATCCCCTTTAACAGACATTTTCTTTTATTAAAAATTTTCATCATAAATGGAATTTCAAAAAAAAAATTTTTTTTTTTAATTGCATTTTCCACTTCTCTTAAAATGCTATAATTGAAATTTGTAAAAATAATTTCAAACACTTTTTAGAGATTTACAATCAAAGACAATTACAGTAATTCGTAATTCTTTAATAATTAATAAGCAATGGTTATAAATTCATCAATAAGTTTTTTAGCTAGAATTAATGTTTCATTGATATTTTTTTACTATGTATAATTTATAAGTCATAATTTTATTAATCAATATTTAGTAAGCTAAAACCTGTTTTAATAAGAGTGAATTATTCACTCGTATTAAAACAGATTTAAAAAATCATAAAATCTTTGATTAGTTTTTGATCCTTAGTTCCTAATTCAAGTTTAACCAAATTAATGCCGAATGAAAAAAAACGATGAAAAGAAACAATGAAGTATCCTATTAATTTAATTTAAAAAATTGAAAATACTGTTTAACAAATTTTTATTTTTTAAAAAGTTTATGAATTTTCAGACTGATCTTCGTGATACTATAAAAACAGTACTATTGTTAGTGCTTTAAAAACTGGCAACAAAGAATATCCTTTATAGCTTTACAACTCACTCATAAAAAAAGTATTTTAATGTGCTTGAATAACTTTTGTGTAACCTATTATAATATATATTATGCATTTTTCCTTTCAGTTTTCTTCACAGCATTGTTGGTCTTCCTCTTCAGCACAAAACAACTCATTTTAATTTACATTAGAGTGGCATCAGTATTTATAATAGTAACAGCGTATGAACTTAATACGAGTCTTGTTAATTTAAAAACTAGAAGGCTGAAACAATCTCAACCAAACACTATCTGCTTAGAGGCCATATCAAATCATGTTTTACTACTAATATTGGCCATTGTATTTTCATTTACTAATACGGCAAATATACTGCCACATTCTGTAGTGTGGGTGTTTTTCTTTGCACCCTTGTTGACTTGCACATTATCAGTACCTCTGCCAATTGTAAAATTCACACCATTATTATCAGCTATTGTATGTGGAATTCTTTTAGCGTATAGTGTATGGTTACATGGTTTGCAAGTTTGTGAAACCATATATAAAGGTGTTACTTGGTGTCACAGTGTAGTTGAAAACTATGGTCTCTATACAATGATTGAGACTCACTGGCTTAATCTTCATATACCACAAGTATTTAGAGCCTATTGGCTCATAAGACTATCGGAATATATAATTAATACACTCCACGAAAGTGGATTCGCATCACTTTCAATTAGTGATCTATTTAAGGGGATTATACTACATGGAAGCGAAAATATTATAACCCTGTTTGGGATGACAAGCATAATTTCTTTTATGTGCCAATTTTCAGGTGAACAAATTCAAGTTTTTCTTAGGGTCAATGATCCAAAGGAAAAAAATATTGGTGGAGTAACAGCACTTCTGTTTCTTATTCTTTCAATACAATCAGGAGTTACAAGTTTAGATCCAAATGAAAGGTATAATCGTATTATTCGGAATTTGTGCCTTCTCTTCACTGCTTTACTTCACTTTGTATACAACATTGTAAACCCAATGTTGATATCTTTAAGCGCTTCTAAAAATCCTTCCATTGGAGACCATATAAGAGCTTTAGTAACATCGGCTATTTTGATAATTTCCTCCGCGATTATTTTAAAATATCAGTGGAATACGCAGAATTCAAGTACTTGGATATATGCTATTACCTCTTTCATGATTGAACTTATTATTAAATCAAGTGTCTCATTAACAATTTATACACTTTTTACTATTGATGCATATAAAAATGGTTTATGGGAAAACTTAGACGATTATATTTATTATTTGAAAGTAACAATAAAAGTCACAGAATTTTTGATTGGAATCTATCTGCTTCTGAATGGATTATGGATATTTTTATTTGAATCAACTGGGATGATCCGTGCTTGTATGATGTGCCTGCATGCTTATTTCAATATTTGGATACAAGGTAAAAAAGGATGGGAATCATATGTATTGCGCAATTCTGCTCTGAAAAGAATAAATTTCCTTCAAATAGCAACCAGAGAACAACTTCTGAAAAAGAAAGATGTATGTGCCATTTGTTTTCAGGAGTTGAATTCAGCACGTATAACCCACTGTAATCATTTCTTTCATGGAATTTGTCTTAGGAAGTGGTTAAATGTGCAAAATAGCTGTCCACTTTGTCATTCTTCCTTATGTAAGGGCAATAATTTACGCTGTTAATTGGTATCATTTTGAAAGGTTCTACTAGACCTATAAACATTTTTCACCCATCATTTGCATCACATTAATATCTCAAACTCTGTGATAGTTCTATAGATAATATGCCATGCAAAAGAAAAGTATAAGCTTTATCTAAGTTATTTATCATGATGGAAAATAATTCCACAAGCCTGTGATATGTAAAATAAGTAAACCTGTATTTATGTACAAATAAAGAATTTTTAAACTGAATGTGCAATTTAACTACATTCATTAACATTGATTTTTTTCATATTTTTCCAGCTATTGCTTAAATAATTATCGAAATCAAAAATAACATTCTGCCTGCTATTCAGCCATCTATTCCATTTTCCCTCCCTTTTAAGAAATACTTTTTATTGGTTTAAATAATAGATAAAAAGATTGTACTTTTCAAATCAAATAGGACAAAATCAATTATCAATGACTTTTTAAAATCTAATGATTCTTTTAATAATTTCTGTTTCTTCAAGACTGCTTAGAAAATCAATACAAAAAGCTTAGGAAATTACCTTTTTACATTTTTTTTTCTAGATTTTCTGAAAACTTTAAACATACTTGATGAACTATGGATAAAACTTTTATTCAAAACAATGAATTTTAAAATTTTGTCATACCTTTTAATTTAAATTATGCTCTTTTTAAAAAGAAACTGAATTTTACTGTTTACAACTTTACTAAGTAAGATACCCCGTTGGAAACTTTCCTTGAATATTGCGAGTTAAATATTTTGATCCAATTTCAGGTTCGTTGAATGTCAGAAAACGATTTTGTCAAGAGGTAAGTATTTATTGGGAAAGTTTTAAGCATAATGATAAATTACACACTATGTATAGTAAGAAAATAAGATTTACAAACTTCAATACACATAATTAGAGATCTTCAAAAAATAGAAAAGTTTAGATTGTTTTAAGATAACCGATTTATATATGATGGGATATAAAGTTTGCTAAATATTCAAATGAATGATATGAATAAATAATTAATTACAAGCTTTTTCAGCTTGCTTAAAAATTCAGTGAATTATGTAAGTATCAATAAACTAACAAATTTTGTATGAACATTAGCATATGAAACATTGTCTGTAGAGTTTGTTAAATACTGCACCGGAAAAAAAAACTGCCACTTAAAGGATAAATTTAGAATTTTGTTATATGATAATATATCAACAAGAAAAACTTGTTACTATGCATTCGCTAAATAGTTTTAAATTTTCACAAAATAAATTTTTACCTGCAGCATAACATGTCAAGCCTAGATTTTCAAAATTTTAGGTCAATTGGAATGAAAGTCCCCAACCCTATGCCCGCGGGCACCATGGCGCCCGTCGATCGGTCTAGGTGCGCTCGCTGCTTGTGCCCAACGATAAATTATTTCAGTTTTCCATTTTCCTCTAAAATGCTAAGCAAATTTTTTGTTTTGCTTTTTCAATATTGGTGATAAACACATCCAAAATAGAAATCGCCAGGTAAACGACCTCCATCCCCCAGATATAAGCACAAAGCATTTATTTCATCATTTTCTCCCAGTAATGAAGCGCTTGCCAGTGAAATACAATGCCAAAGATCACACTGACTTTATTTTATATGTTTATAAATAATTTTTATATTTCGTATGTTTTGCAACCATTTAGTAATCATTTATTTTGCACAAGAATATTAATACATTAATTATATTCATATGTAAAATTAATTTTTCAAGTTAAATTTTTTGTGCATAGTATGTAGTGCGTCGTTCAACGATCGTTGTTGTAGAACTGGGCATCTGAGGCCTAAATGGCCCTTATGTAGTGCGTCGTATTCCCTATGTCTACTAACTATAAATTTATCTTGAAAATATAAATGGTGCCCGCCATTCAACCAATATTCTGGTACTTGCTCTTGGGTACAAAAAGGTTGGGGACCCCTGCTCTAGAGAGTAATTGGTAACTCTTTTTATCAGGTTTGAATTGAGGAGAGCAAAAATAAAAAAATATGAGTTTTCTCTCAAGTTAACCACTAAAAAAAAACCTCAAACTGAAGCTATGCATATTTTTATTAGGTGTAAATGACTAGTAGTTAAAGAGGAAATTTTTTTTTCAAGGCAATATTAGAAGGTTTAATTGTACCACAAGCTGTACTTTATAAATCTTTGTCAAGAATTAAAATCTCATTTTTTTAAAAAACTTTTTTTTCTTAATTCAACCACAGTTCAATATAGATATGTGCCAAATTTGAATATGATCGGGAATCAGTTTTTGAGTCAACTACGAGTTAATACTTTTTTCTGAGTGGTCTCTGAAAATCAGTTCTTAATGGCTAAGTTTTAAGATTTTTTTTAAAAATTTTTTTATTTCAGTAACACAATTTTTAAATAATATTTTTAAAAAAATTAAGAAGTTAGTCTTCATTGAACCCAAAACTCGTGCAATCTTATATGAAGTAAGTTAATCAAGAAATTAAATGTTTTCTACTTCTGAACATAAAATTGCTTCAAGGAAAAGTTTTAGTGCAATATATATGCACAACTTCTTAATGACAAAACTTTCATTTATAGGAGGCCTTGGAAAAAGTTTATAAGTTTGTAATTTTAAGTGGATCTGCTGAAAAGGGGAGATTTAATACTCAACGAGCATCCTTGATTTAAAGTCATTCTGGAATTTTTCTTATTGAATTAATCAAAATCATCTGGACAAATTAACTATTAGGAGAGTCAAGCACTCTGAATGCTTTCAATTTAAAAACAAAAGATAACTAATAATGCAGGATTAGTCATTATTAATATGAGACAAAAATTTAAATTTTCATTAATAAATTTGATGTATTAAAACAAAATAAAAACATTGCAGAGCTTTTTATATGATTATGGATAAAAACATTAAAGTTAAAAGCGTTTCACATTAATTCTAATAAATAGGGTAAATATATAAATAAAAAACATATGAGTCAAGCATGAATGTTCCAAAAAGGTTCTGGGGCTAGTATTTTCAATGTTATAAAACTTATCATTGCAAAAGAAAAAAACCAGTTGAGCTCATGAATATTCATTATAACAGAAAAAACAGAAATGTATGTTGCCACAGAAAAAAAGGAACAAAATAATTGCTTTTAGTAGCCTGAAACATGAAAATAGTAGCAGAAATAAGGACTAAAATTTTATTAAGTGACTTAAAAAAGTGACTACAAAAAGTTTTATACAATTAAAAAAATGTACACAACAGAAAATGAATACCTTGATAAATGTTGAAAACAGTAAAAAATTAAAGCTAATATTGATAAAAGGAAAAACAATTTATAAAAATAAAATTTGAGAGAAAAAATAAAATGCACTTTATTAAACATAATGGAAAATTTAATTTTTGGCATTGTAGACATAAATGATAGTATAAGAATTTGTTTTCTTTTATTAACAATTTTGTTCTTTTTCGTTGTAACAGCAGTTGTTGTACCTTTAATCTTGCTTTGAGCGAGTCCAATGCCTTGCATATCTTTAGGTTGTAGAATTTTTAAGTCTTTGGTTGGGTTATTTTGACAACTTATCAGACGCTTCCTTTATCTCATTTTAGCTGGCGAATAAGATAATTTCTATATAAGTGTTAGTATTCTAGAGCTAAATTTTCAAAATTAATATGATATTAAAATTATTTATTTATTTTTTTAATATCAAAAAAATTTGTATATTTGCAGAAAATTAATATATACATATCAGAGGAAAAATATAAATTCTAAAAAAAATGCAATGCTCACAAAATGAAAATGTAAAAAATGCATACATATTTAAATTGAGAAAATATATGGGGTTTAAAAAAAATTAAAACTAAACCATTAGAGTACAAGATAAGATTTAATATTTATTTGGTATTATACTTTAGATATTATTTCGATTTCTAGAAATATTAGAGGCTTTATGAATTTTAAATAGGAGCTTCTTTTTTTTTACTAAAAGAATCACCTAAGCTACTCTAACTAGGTTGCAGTAACATTGCATCAAAATATTGAGATACTAAATACCACAAACAAATCCCAAACTTGCCGAAATTCTTACAATGATCCATGACTTGCATACTATTTTAGAAGAAATTCCTACTATTTCATGAGAAATTATCTTTTTATTAGTATGGTTAAAATTTTACAATTAGTAACTAAGTATTAAAATAAACAGACTCAAGACACATAAAAAAGAATCCAGTTCACCAATTCCTGATGAAATACTTTAATCAGTAATCTAATCTGTTTTGTATCAGAAAGACTTGAGGTCTACTCTACACTTTTTCTTATCCAAGGCCAATATAGAGTTCAGTATGTTTATGCTACTCAGTACTTTCTAAAAGAGTAATGCTTGATTAACTTTACACTAAAAACAGAGGTTCCAAAAAAAAGCCAGAGTTTATTATAGATTTAACTAAAAAATCTTTATAAAAAAGTTGAAATGCAAAAGCTGATAAGTAAAAGAGTTGTCCAACATTAAAAGTTGAAGTAATTCACTTGCCTACCATTGTTCAACCAATTGTCATAATGGAGTTGTTAACAGCAACAAGGTGTATCACACACGAAACTTTTTAAGTGAGAAATGGTCACTTGTGATTCTGATTTCTAATTTGGTTTATATATATTATCTCAAATAATTAAATACATCCGAAATTTTAATAAAAATATCTATTGTAAATTTAACTCTCAAAAATCAATTAAAAACATTTATTTTTTGCAAAGATTTCCTTATGCACATTTTGCATAAACAAAATAATAACATATCACAGAAGAAATTGATCAAAAACTTTAACCTCTTCAATTTACCTCAAATAAGAACAGATTAGACTTCAATAGATAATCTCTGGACAAATCACGTAACACAAAGAGCATAATTTCTCAACACTCTTTTCAACTTCCACAGATCAACTTCTCAAACTTCACACCAAAAGAGGAAAGATTAGACTTCAATGGATAAGCTCTGGAGAAAACATGTTACGCAAATAAAGAACATAATTTCCCAAGAGCTTTGACATTGAACCCAACTTGAATATTTCAGAATCTAGAAGAAAATATATTCAAAGCTTAGAACATAAGAAAAATTAACAGTTAATAATTTTTAACATGCAACTATATTTCTTTAATAATACAATAAAATTATCTATTATAAAATAAGACTTTTATATTAGGAGGAATAATGACTATGGGATAACTATGGGATAAAAGATGATCCCTAAGAAAAGAGCAAGATACAGGGAAAGATCCTACATTTCATTTGCAGGAAGCAAACTTTAGAAACAATGACCAAAAAATGTATTTTTTAGAACACTATGAAAGAAAAAAACTTTTTTTGTTTTCTTTTTTATTTATTTATTATTATTTTGATCTGACTTTACATACATTGATATTTTATCCAAGAGTCTAAAATGTTGAAGCTTAACAAAGTTAAGAACAAAAAGTTACACATTATAAAAACTAACATGTTGAAGAGAGTTACTTAATTCCAAATATTGTTTAAAAAAATACTTCAGTGTGCTATAAAACAATATTTCTTTTTTAATTATTTAGTACGTTTCACACACACACACACACACAAATTCAATTTTAAATGGAACTACAATTCAACTTGAAATGGAACTACATTTCACAGACATGATATATATTAGAGACATAAATTAAAGATTACATAAGTAGAATAAATTTTAAAAATTTCAATGTACATTGAAGAATAAACTAGACCCCCGCAGAACAAAACTACCTACAGGTTCTTCACCACAGAATAATTCATGTCCAAGTCAAGAATCATTTTTGTTTCATTGTGTACACTTTTATACAAATTAGATATTAAACAAATTTTATTTTTTTATTATTATAAAATTATACATCATTTTTTAAAAAATTGGTAATAATTTGTATATTAAAAATAACACAAGTGGAATATTTGTAATTATCAAGTCTTCTTCCAAAAAAATATTACTACACATTAGATATTTTTTCTGCTCCTAGGTTTAAAAATTAAGCTTTCTCTAAAAAGTCATTATCCCCTGAATATACATTATATATTTTTTTATCCTAAAAATTTAGGTATAACTTACAGAAATGTGTAAATTGAAGCTCTGTGTGCAACAAATTTGTTAAAGAACATTAGATATTAATTTTGTTCCTGGGCTTAAAAATTGAATGTTTTCTAAAAATTCATTTTCTCCTAAATATATGGGTTTTTTCTTTATGGCTTTAACACTCAGTTCTCAATTTTTAAAAATTCATAAAACTTAAAAAGTATTAAAGTAAATAATTGATGCCACAAGTTATTTTTACAATAAAAACTAAACGTCTTTGACAATTTTTTATTAAGTTGAATGCATTTAAATAACTTCTAAAGCTAAACATTTTGTAAAAGGTCATAATCTCCTGCACATAGAATTTTAGCATAATTCTTATAAATATGTAAATTAATAGCTCTTTGTACAATTTTGACACTTGTAAGAAATATGTCAGTAACAGCTTGCTTTTAATTTTATAAAATTCCTGAAAGTAAAAAGAATGAAAGCAAGTTAGCAAAGAGTACATTGCGAGAGAAAAACTGCTTGGTAAAACTACCTCAACATTGCCTTTACAAGCAGAAAGATTGACCATGGTGGGTCCATCTCCTCGGCCCAAACATCTATCCTGCCAGGAATTCTTTCGCACTGCAGACATCTGAAAAGAACTATTTATTAGATGCTAATCAATTATCCACAGAACATGAACATTTTCAGTCAAATTGGCACCACAAAAGCAGACATTAGCGAAATACTAATGAATACCATCAATGAAATACCAGACATAGTGAAATACCATGACACACTTGGTTGCAAATGGGAAGCCTGGATTGCAGCTGGAGGTCACTTATTCAATGCAATGTTTCAATACAATGTATTCAATATATTGAATTCAATACAATGTTTTCAATATGATTTATTTTGCTCTTTATTATCAGTCTTTATTGAATTTTTTATTTTGACCAAACAGTTTTCTTGAATTACCCTTTGTGTTTTGAAAGCATGTTTTTTCTTTTTAAAATGGACCGCAAGTTTTTTTTTTTAATGGACTTGGGCACAATTTAATTTGATTCAGAGTAAAAAATTACTCTGGAAACATATTACTTGACTAGAGGATGTTTTCTCTCCATTCCTGCTCGCTCTCAGGAAATTCTAGATAGAGATTAAAACTGGCTTCAGCAGTGGGTGCTAACCTCAATATTCATATTGAACCTAAATCATATTTTTTTTAAAGATTTCACAGAAGAATTGCACTCCTGCTTATATGTACATGAATATTTCCAACATTAGTGAACTAATGTAAATTATACATAGAAACCTCCAAGAAATACCACCTCTATGTAATGACCTCCCTTATTTATGACCATTTTTGGGAGGCACGGAATTTTTTTCATAGACTTTGTGTAACAGAAAACCTTCAAGGGAGACCATAAAAACCTGTCAGTGGCTAGGCGATCTTTCGGACCAAAAGCGTAAAAGGTAAATTAAGGAAACAAAAAAATATCAAAATAAAAAATGTTAAAGCAAATAAGTAGATTAAAAAGCATTTAAAATATTTGAGTGAGGCTCTAATTTTGAGAGCTTTTTTTTACCATCTCTGAAGGATATATATAGCCTCATGTTGCAGTCAGAGAGCACTGAAAACGATGCTATTAATGATTAATTTTTAGAGTTGAAAAATTAAATTTTAAGAAAAACTAAGCATCTCAAACAAGCAAACCTATTCTCTTTTTTTAAAGCTAACTAATTTTTATGATATAAAATTAAATGCAAACTTAAACAGAAAACAACTGTTCATTTACTTAGAATAGTTCTATCATTCATAATTGGTAAATGCTTTTTTATTGATAATTATATCAGTCGGGATCATTTTTATTGATGCTAAAATTTATTCATCAATCAGATTTTCACGACGCCAACACAAGCGGCATGTGGCAAGGAAATGACTATGACTAAAATTAAAATAGTTAATGAAAAATCATGCACGCTCAATAACACTTTGAAGTCAATGGAGGTAACCCCCAAGAATGACCAACCTCCATTAACAAACATTTTACTGTGAAGTAAAGAGGAGTCGCTCCCAAGAGAGGTTTTACAGTATTATGGAATAATTAGTTAACTGAACTTAGTTTACAAAAAATACAAATGTTTGTTGATGAGTTAATTTTTTTCCCGCCATTAAAAAAAATTTTTTTTTCCTCATAAGACTTTAGGATTTTTCTTTCTTTTTTGAAAAATGTTTACCTTGCCATCATTTCGGATATAGTCATTAGTGTATTACTTCATCGTTTTTTCTTCTTTTTAAGATTATTTCCAAATATTTTTTTTTTAGGTGGGTTTAACAATAAAAAAAAAACGTCTTTTTGTAGCGATTCAGAAAACCGGAAAAATCAGTTATCCGGAATAGTGATGGTCCCCTACTGTAGTTTGGGTTTTTGACATTACAGATAAAACCATCGTTAAAATCGAATAAAAGTGTAAATTGTCCAAAAACTTACATTTCATAAAAAGTATTATCACTTGTAAATAGATGTGTTCATCACAAAATTCCAAAGGATTTTCAGTTTTGAGCCACCAAAATCATGAGGGGGAAAAAATTGCAAGAATATTTAAACCAGTCTTTAATAGTTTTACATAAAGGACAAATCCTGAAAATTTCAACAAAATCAAAAATGTCTCCGACTCTTAAACCCCACATTGTGCAGGGGAGTTGTTTATTTTAGCAAGTTCTATCACTCCTTAGAGTTGTGACTTATTTTATAACACGTTAATGGACAACCCCTAAAAACTTGTTAAGAAAAGCCTTTAAAGAATTAAAAACTCTTAATATATTTATAAATTATAAGTTAGGTATACAAATTAGTGATAAAGTTAAATGATTTTTAAAATATGTGTTAAATAAAAGAATAGGCAAAAATGAAAGAATTTTTATGCTATTAATTTAATTAGAAAAACTTAAAAGGATTTCTAAGTAAAAATATTTTTTATGGTAATGTCTTTTGCTAAGTATGGACTCGTTTTGAAGGAAATTGTCCCATCATGCAAAGGATTTTACAACTATAAAATAAAAAGCCAATATGAGTATTATTTATATATATTTTTAATGTTTTATTTTAATTTATTAATCCATTAACTACTTGATTTGCCATAGTACAACTAAAGAAACTTAATATACAGTCAAATCTTTTTATAATGATGACCACAGAACAAGCAGTTTTTTTCTTTTTAAATAATATTAAAAGTGAATAATCAGAATAAAAACTTATTATGTACAACAATAGAAGAGTTTTAAAATTAGTTCTATTTATTAAAATATGTCACAGACATTTTTATAAAAATTGTTTTCTCTTCTTTGCTAATATAAAAAATGAACCTAGATTTCAATCTTTGCTAATTTGTAAGTGGGGTCATCCCAATAAAACAGAAAAAAAAATTCTTAACTTTTGATACGAAACAAAAGGTGAGAAAATTCTTAAAACCCCTACTTCATTCCTGTAAGCACTATAATAGAAAAAAAAGTTTGAAAAAAGTCAAATCAATTTCATATATTTATTTTGGATATTCTTCAACTATAGTGAAAGAATATGTTCCTTACAGGATAAGTATAGTTATCCTTGTTTGATTCTTTAAAGTTTTATAGTTATCCTTGTTTGATTCTTTACATATTGTACAAAGTAATTACAAAATAGTTTTAATTCCCAAGCCACTTAATAAATCATTTTTAAATAAGTGAAAATAAAATAACAAAATTTGCACAAAAAAAAATTATAAAAAACTAATAAACTTGTAATTAAATTTCATATGAACTTATACTACAAATCACTCATTGATCTCAAATCATTAACAATAGCATATCTGCAATGAAAATTTAACAAATTGAAAAAATTTTAACAAATATTTTTTTAATTAAAATTTCACTATGCAATATTTTTTTCATTCATTAAGCAAAATATTCATTAAATTGAAAATAATAAAAATATACATAATTAATCTATATATAACTATACAAATTTATT